GCCTGGTGGTTTATGGCTTTCAGGTCATCAGTAACTCCTAAACTACGCTTGTACTGCAGGATGGGGGTCACGGTGAGGAAATGTTCTCTCCCAGTGACCCCCAGCCTGGTGGGCATGAGTGGTGGTCGGGCTGTGTCCTGCTCATGCTGTGTGTGCACCTCGCAGCAGCACCCCTGTCCTGTTCTCCTGGGGTACCATGGGAGAGCACATGGGAGCGTGGCAAGGAGAGCAAGGATGCAGAATCAGATGTGGTCCAGAGAATGATGTGCCCATGCTCTGGCCAGGTTTGAGTGCATCTCCAGTGAGGTTTGGACCGGCCCAGAAGCACAGAATGTCACCAGTGTCTGGGTGAGCTCCCAGGACAGAGTAATCTCAAAGAACATCTGCCCTGCTGCCATATACACATGGGCACATCCTTCTTAGGCCTCCATCAAACAGCCCTCATGTCCAGCTTCCACCCTTCACCTCCAGCCAGCCTTAAAAACAGTTCCTGGGCTACAAGACATTATTGCCAGGAGCTTCAAGTCCATCCTAACAAACCCTGCAAGGATGCTGAAAGTGCTGCTACTTCTTCCCTAGAGCTCACATCTCTCTAGTGAAGGGTCCTCTCCTCACTGCCTTTGCCTCAGCACAGATGACTTGCAAAGCAGCTTGTGAGGCATGAAGACAGAGCTCTCCACACAGGAGCTGCTGATGGGGGGAAAGAACCAGTGCTCATTCCCTCAAACAGGGGCAAGATGACCTGGATCCAAGTCCAGCATCTCCCTGCTGATGCTGTTGAACAAATGAGAGTGAAGAGGTGCAAGAGGAGCCATTGCCATGAGATAGCAGGTGCCTTGGTAGGGCATCATCACAGATCTTGCATTCTAGAGCCTGGCAGTGTGAGGGGGGCTCGTACCCTGGGTGCGTGGTCATTGCCCCGTTGACTGTGCATCGACCCACAATAGTCTGGGGTCCTGCAGCTACCAGGGTGTCCCAATAGCCTGCCCAGGACTGGATCTTAATGGGGCAGCTGCCAAGGGTAAGGTAGGGCAGGAACTCCACAGCCTTTTCTAATTCTCTATCAGCGATGTTGTGCCTGGGGCTTTGCTCAAAGCCATGCTCCCTATGGAGAGGGTCTGAGTCGGGCTCTACCCCTTGTGGCACAGGAGAGAGGCCTCAGAATGGGACAGCATTCCCAGGGGCTGACTGTGGGCTCTTGCCTTTCATGGAGGATGAGACATCCCCATGAGACATCTTGGCCACCCTCTTTTCCCTTAGCTGATGGCAAGACCAAGCAAGACGAGGGGTGAGTTCTGCTGGCACCTGCCCCACAGCATCTCTCATGTCAGTGAGGCTCAGCTCTGCACATCACTGTCCATCTGCCTTCCCGTGTGGGCTACAGCACCAGGATCCTTCTGCAGCCCTTTGGGAAAGCGTCTATTCTCTCCCATGTGCCCATGCACAGAGATGGCAATCCAGGGCACAGCTGAACACAGGCATGCATGTTGGATGCACAGACCCAGGACTTGTGGCACGGAGAGGTGAGGGTCATAAGGAAGCAAGTGAAAGCCACGATGGGGTCGGCATGCTGCTGTCAGCAGAGCTTCCAAAAGTCCGGGAGCAAGTGGTCCAGAGCCCTCACATCTGAGCACAGCACAGTATTCCCAGGTGAACCTGCAGCATCTGAAGCTAAAGCACAGCTGCTCTGGTAGGTACGAAGGCACCTTCCCATCAATGGGATAGGCATTGTCACATAATCTGGCCCGCAGGTTTCACCCAGGGAGCTGGGTATGGCTGGAGCCTGCTGCTCCATGCTCCAGGTCCTGTCTAAAAGGAGGCTGCCTTGGTGATGACGATGAATTTACGACCTCCCACCCACTGGTGCTGGAGGCTGGAGCCACAGCTGCTCCCAGAGGGTGTCGGGGGAGCTGCGGTTTGCATGAATGATTTTCCAGCTCTGCAGCTCGGAGCCACGGCAGAGACAACAAAACAGCAGAACAAAACAAGCCTCCAGCTCGGGCCGCCCAGTGTGCTCTGCGCCGTGCTGTGCTGGTCTCCATAGCCTGCTCCAGCCTGGCAGCATCCAACCACCACCCTCCTCCATCAGCCCCCGTGCTGCCAAGACCCTGGAGATGAGCTGGACAATGAGGGGTCATTTGAACCCCCTTCCCATGGTTGCCAGAGCAGGGGCAGGATGGGCTGGCAATGCCAAGTTGGTACCCAACTGCTGCATCTCCTGGGGACCCACAGCTGCGGGAACCTGCTGGTGGCTTTCAGGGCACCACAGCTCCTTCATCCCACAGCTTCTCCTCTGCCCTCTTCTCTCCCATGTCCCCAGCTCACACCAGGGCACAGGAGTCCAGCAGCTGCCACATCTTCACACAACAGTAACAGGGCCCTGTTTGTCCCACAGGGACACCCTGCCACATTCCCATGCTATTAGGTGCCTGATACCAGGCTGTGGCTGCCCCAGCTGCAGCCATAGTGTGAGGATGCCGTAGCCGCTTATGGGTCTTCCACCTGAGCCATACCAGCACCAGGAGCAGCAGGACTGCAGCCTATTCCTCCCCAGGATCTCCAGTGCTGTCTTTCACCACCTGCTGCTGTCAGCACCTCCTGGAGAGCAGGAGTGCTAGGGCCAGGCAGATCCAAGCTAGGTCTGAAATGAATGAGGAATTCCCCCTGGAACAGCCACATAAGATCAGAGCTGAGGTTCCCTCTTCCACATCCTGCTCCTGCATGTGCTAGGCTTGCCATGGCTTTGGCTCCCTGAGCCATTTGATGCTGGCGGTCCAAAAAGAAAGGTCTTCAAGCATGTAGGACACTGAACCAGGGTCCTGGTTCACCTATCAGATCTTCTAACCAGCTCTGCCCCTCTTCTCAGGTTGCCTCATGGCTCCTTGGAAGTGATGTCTCCAGAGCAGGGAGTCCAAGTGCCTGAGGCTTGTGCTGTTCTATGCCCTGGGCATCAAGGAGGAACCATCCTTCACTGTGTGGCTTCATTGGCACCAGACCTTCCTGCTGCCAGGGAGCACGGGTACCTCCAGCCCCCATCCATCCCCTGCCCCAGCAGGCACCATCAGTTGCCCCATAGGAGCTTGCAGTGGCTCACATGAGCTGGACTCTGCTCCCCGTTTAGGATGTACTCTGGATTTTCCCAAGGTGGGTTTTTTCCCTGCTTGTATCAAGCTGTAGGAAGACCTGAGAGCATGCAGTGTGGAGAAATAGCACCGGGGATGTCACCTGCCACGCAGAGGTACCCAGTGCTAAGGTCCCACACTCAGCCACAGAGCTCTGGGATGTGATCCCAAAGCCTCAGCTCCATCCTTTAAAAGCAGGTCTCTGTGGATGCGGTGCAGCAGCGCCTGTTGGGGGCCTGGTTGATGCAGCTGCAGCGTGCGAGCAGCGCAGGGAGCGGGCGATGCTGCTCTGCTTGCTATGGAGCAGAGCCCTTCAGCTCCCCAGAGCGCAGCCTGCCGCTAGAGGCCAACACACCAACACGTGTGAGCCGGGTGGAGGAGCATCCATCCATCCGCGTTCACAGGGATGAGCTGGACCTGGAGCCCCCGATGCCTTCAATAAGGGCCTGGTGCAGCCTGCAGTACTGGCAGCAAATCACAGCTTGAGTAAGAGCCGGCTGGAAAGTGCCACTTCCACCCCAGGGGGACTTTGAAATCCCAGGTTTACCATGGGAACAGCAACGCTTTCTGCTCCAAACAGCTTGACTCCCAGACTCGGGTTTGCCAGGAGCCGGGCGCCACACTGGAATAAGTGAGCACTTTGAATATTACCATCTATTATCAGGTGTCAGAGAAGTGAGGCATGGAAATGAAACGCCGCAGCCAGGCTGGAATGAAAAGCAAAACAGGAAAGTTAAAGCAAAGTGAGCCCCGCAGAGCAAAGCCTCCAACTTCAGGCTGTGTCGCTCCAAAAACAACATGAAAAATGTCATTGCAGTCAATGCCTTCCTGAGGAAATGGCTCTGTTTCAGCAGAATGGCAGCTCTCAATAGGAATCTCTTTAGTGGGAGCTTTTGAAGAGCTCTATTAATAGTGAGCTTTGCCAGAGCTCTGGATCCCCAGGGAGAATGCATTAAGTGAGAAGCTGTCAGGAGCTCCCAATGCAGTTGGTGTCTGGCTGCTCTTAGGCTGGAGAGGGACAGGGGAGGTGGAGATAAAAGCTGCTGCTGCTGCAGGCAGGAGCAGAGGGATGGGCCTGACACCTTCTCCAAACTGACACCGGGTTCCTGGGTGCTGTCAGAGCAAATCTGACCATTTCAGGCCATGCTAAAGCCCCACAACAGAGCAGCGGAGGGGAAGCTTGTCAAGGAACCCAAGGAGGAGCCCTCTCTCCAAAGAGGGCTTCCCATCTCTGCACCAAGCAGTGTTTTACATTTGGAGCTGTCAAAACACATCACAAACATCTAATTAATGACATCTCCGGAACTGCTCTTGATGGAAGGGGCTTCATTCCAATTAAACCATTGCAGATCTGGTGCCCTTTTCTAAGCAGCTGCTTCTGCTGCCACAGAACTCGGTAGTTCCTTGACACCCAAGCAGGAAGAAACCCTGTTCTGATGCGCATCCCACATGTTTCAGGACACCCCAAAGGCTCTGGGCTGCACTGGCACAGGCCTGCTCCTGTCTTAAAACCCCCATTCAATGGACTATTCCTCTACTTTGACCTCCAGCCTAGGAGCAAACCAGCCGCCTGCTTGTGGCATCAGTGCTGTGCAGCTCCTGCAAACACAGCTCACACATGCTCTCGACCATGACCTGGTCATAGCAAGCAGTGTGGCTGCAAGAGGACCGCATCCCAGTGTCCTGGAGAGGTCCCACTGAGTTCCCACCATGCCACTGCTGCTCCACCCCCTGGCATCTCCCACGCCCCACATGGGGACAGCAAGGATGCTTCTTGTGGGTGAGGGTCCAAGTCCAGGACAGCCCCACAGCCCTGGGCATGGTCTCTTCAGCAAGCAGCTCATTGGGAGCTCCTCACTCCCTGGCTTTCAGTTGCAGCTGGGGTTAGCAGGCAGCACAGACACACAGAGTCCTTTAATTGGGGTTGAATTTCAGCGTCCCGAAGTCTGGAGCCCTTGAAGTGCTGGTTGGGTGCTCCTGCCTCTGTAGTTAAAATGCTCTGCCCTGTCAGAGCCAGCTTTGCCTTCCCCTGCCCTATCTCACAGCAGCATTGGACCCAAACAAGGGCAGGTCCCGGAGCTCTGAACAACTCTTTATTTGTTGAGGTTTCTTTTTCTCTCTTTCCCCCTTCCTTCCCTTTGAATGAAATTCCTGCCAGCTCCGAGAGGGAGAGAGAGAGGGGAAAAAGAGTAGAAAGTTTAACTCCTCCCATTGGAGCATCTCACGCCCCTGCCCAGCCCTTGAAACCCAATAACCAAGATCATTCAACAATGCCTCCCCTTCCCTGGCTGCATCCTTACCTCTCTCCGACCTGCCGGCGGTACCCTGCCCGCTGCACGCCAGGCAGCAGGATCGCTGCCCTCCATCCAGCCCAGCCGCAGCACCGGAGCGAGCCGGCGGCACCGGGGCAGGCAAGGATGGACACGCTCTTCTTCTGGGGCATTCTCCTGGCCTCTTCCACCAGCGTCCAGGCAGTGCCCGCAGAGCAAGGTGCTGCACCCTCCTGCCCACCCCAGTGCCACTGCGAAGAGGATGGCATCGTGCTCTCGGTGGACTGCTCCGAGCTGGGGCTTTCGGAGGTCCCTGCCAACCTGAGCCCTCTAACAGCTTACCTGTAAGTACAGCCCTTGCTGGGGTTGGGGTTGGTTCGCAACGCTTCCTCCGGATCCCTCGCCCAGCTGCAGCGTTCCTGCAGCTTGGAAGCTTCTGCCACATTTTCCTGACATTGAATTTCCTCTGGAAATCAGAAACAAAACCAAACAACAGCAAAAAGAAAGAAAAAAAGGCAGCTATGGCTCCAGGACCTGCCAAGCTAAGCCAGCTCCCCCTCCTCCCCGCAGCCCTCTGCAAATGCTGTTTATATTGCAATGTTATGCATGCTTTGCTTCTTGATTACAGTGGCTCAGAGGAGCTGATTTGCTGGGTAGATTCTGATTGTCTGGGAACATAATGGAGTATTTATACTGAGCAATTAGTGCAAACGGCTCTGGGGTCCTTCTGTCAAACATTTCAATAGCTGTGATAACTCCCGGGGTTTGGGTTGAGCTGGCCACCAGCGGTGTCCAAGGTGCCTCTTTAAAATGAATAGTAAAGTCTTAAAAGAGGTGCGGTGCTTTTGGTGGGTTATTTTGGGCTATTTGTTTACTTTTACATCCTTAATGATCTGAATATCTCCCGTCCTTTCTGGTGTTAATATCCCAATGGGTTACATTGACACAGGGCTCTGGTGTGCTTGTTTCTAGCCGCAGAGATGGTCTCAATGGTGCCATGTGACTAGAGATGACTGAGGATGTCCCCAGGGTGAGCAGGGGACTCCATGGAAGTATCTCAGGGTTTGACCAGGAGAGGAAAGACCTCTCTGCGGGAGACAAGCTGGACCTGGCGTGCGCTGGGGATGATGCTCATTGTATTCACAGAGGTGCTGCAGCCAGCAACTTCATTTGTGCAGATGGGCTGCTGAGGACCTTGGCTGTCCCAGCTAGGGATGCAGCTGAGGTGCTGCTAAGGGAAGCTGTGTGTACCAGCTGGTGGTCCCCAGGCAGTGCTGGGGATGTTCGGTTTGTGTTCAATCGTGCTGCAAGGGAGCTGGTGTCCCAGTGTGGCACTCAACCCGTGCTGCTGGCTTTCTGGTGTTGCTGGCTTCTCCTGATGTGCAGTTACTCAGCTGGTAAAGCTGAGCACCCTAACTCATTCGGGAAGGGCTTTGCAGCTTCAGGCTGAAGCTGCCACAGATGGATAAGAGCTTCTCCATTCAACCTGCTTGCCAGAGGATCGCATTGATTTGTCTGGTGCCAACCATTCGCTAGCCAGAGCTGTGTTAGGTCAGGTGAGAAAGAAATGTGATGATTTTCACTGGGAAGCATGAAAGATGATTGAAATGTGCAATACAAGCTGTGTTTCCCTGGGACGAGGAACCACAGAGCACTTGTCACACGAGGTGTGTCGTGTATAGAGCCGTCCCCTCTGCACACATCCTGGGGCTAAGTTTGGAGCCAGCTGCCTATGAGCACAAAGTCACTGTGGCTCTTGGATATGACTTGGCACAGGGAGTTAAAACCATGTGGGCTGCAAGCAGGGGGGCTGCAGAGCTTTGCAGCCCTGCCCAGCACCCAGCCCATCCTTGCGGTCATCACAAGACCAGGCACCTGCGGCTCTGCAGCACATCAGAGCCAGCTCCACTGCATGAAACGAGGGCAGCTTGGTGTTAAAGGGCTCTCAGTGCCACGGTTCCCCTGACCGTGGTGGTCGGAGCAAGGACACCGAGCCCTGGGCTGCGGCTCCCCCGTGCATGGACCCCAGCGGGTGGGTGCTTAAAGATGCTCTCGGCCTGGTGCTGCCGCCGAGTCTGGATGTGGCTGGGAGCTGGTGCTCGGGGCAAGCTCCGGGAGCGCGCCCCGTCCCTCGGGGCAGCCCCAGCGGCCGCTCCGCTCACACGGGGGCGCCAACGACAGCGATTTGCGGGAGCTGCGCCCGCAGCGCCGCCCATCCCCGTGCGGGAAGAGCGGGGCTGCAGGGACCCCCCGGTGCGAAACGCCTCGGGTAGAGCCAGGGAGGTGTTGGATGGTGCGGAGCTCCCCTCCTCCCCTTGGGGCTGGACCTGTTTGGTTTAGTGCGAGGTGTCCCTGCCCATGGCAGGGGTTGGAACTGGATGATCTTGAGGTCCTTTCCAACCCGAACTGCGCTATGATTCTATGAAAACCAGCGCGTTTGCTGCCTGTTACACACTGCCAGTGGGTTAATGGCTGAGAATGGACAGAAGTAGGAAGGCAGGATGAGCAGGGAATTATCAGGGGGTTTCCTCCCTGCTTCTGCCACCACCTTCTTGGCCAGCCTTTGGCAAGGTTAGTTTCCCAGTTATAAGGTGTGCAGTCAGGGCTGTTTTTTCAAAGCCAGCCATAATAAATGCTGCAGAAAGGATGGATATTCGAGAGGGATCCGTGTTCTTCAGGTGAATTCAGGCTTGGAAATCACCTTCAGATACGTAAAGAAATGCCGAGGATTATGGGGAGATCTGCAAGTGCTGAAAAGCAGCTGTGTGATGGCAATAGGGAGCATGGAAGCTGTTCCCAGAATCTTCCATCTTCTTTGCTCCATGCCCTGTGTTCTAAGGAAATTGCTGGTCCTCCTTTCTGTAAGGAGCAGGACTCCCTCAGGTGCAAAATAAAGGATCCTCGTAATAACCTCTGATTAGACACTGCCTCACCCACTAATGAGCTCGCATTCCTGCCCCATCCTGACAATGCTGTGTCTCCCCTGTGCCTATCTCTCTCCAAGAACCCTGTCCTTGCTCACTCTTGCACCTCCCTGAACTCAAACCTTATCCCACCATCCAAATCCAAGCTTTACCAATGGAGGCATCCCTGGTGAGCCTGCAGTTGTGGCCTGGGGGACAGTAGGGAAGCAGTGACCTCTCCTTAGGGGAACCTCTCTGATGGGCACTTAGACACACTGCTGTCCCTTGGCAGCTCAGCTGGGGTTGCCCATGTTAGGTGACAGGTCCCTGCTGGCTGCATTGCTCCTGCCAGCATCCTTGAGCTCAATGAGGGCTCACGCTGGCTCCAACAGCCCATTTCTCTGGAGCAGCACAGACCAACCTGCCTGGTTCATCACATGGGGACTGGCAAAGAGCTTTAGTGCATGGTGTATCGGAGGGGTTGAGGGTATGGACTGTGTCTTAGCCAGGCCTTACAGTCCAGCCATGGAACACTAAAGGTCAGCACATCCACTCCATCTTCTCTACACTGTCCTAGTCAGTAGTTAGAGACAGCAATAGCATTCCTCTATTTCTCCTTCTCTAGTGAAGACTGATCAAACTTACTCATAGGAGCAGTGCTTGGGACATGGATGGAGCAGGGAATATGGCAGGATGGGAGACAGGAGCATGCAGGACAGTGGGGATACTGCAGTGGAAGTGATAAGGATGAAGGATACAAACCTGTAGAATACATCAATAGCACCATGGCTCAAAGCTCAGCTGGAGGAGCCATCCCCCCCTTCCCCAGGGTCCCAGGTCCCTACAGCACCATGGAGGGTCAGGCTCTCCCTCTGCTGTGTGCCCCATCCCCAGAAGCATCCATGACCGCATGTCCTTGTCCCAGGCCCCATGCATGCCTTGCAGTGAAGCCAGGCAAGGCTTCATTGCACAGCTCACTGTGAGTGATGCTGTTGCTGTCATGGAAAGCCAGCAAAGACCTGAGGCACAAGGCAGGTGTTGAGGTTGTTGGGCTGTGCTGTCACAGCAGGATTTGGAGAAAGAAGAAAGAGCAGCAGGGAAAGAGCATCCAGAGCCTGGCTGCTCCCAGATAGTGCCAGGCATCTCAGGAGGCTGCCCAGACAAAATGCTTCTCATTCCCACAGTCTTTCCATTGAGGTGAAGGGATCAGGAGCCTTCAGGGCTGTTCTCGCTCTGCAGAGACATTTTGAGCCATTGCTTGGAATTTAGCATCCCACTGGGAGTCTGGGGGCCCCGTGTCATCCATGCTCTCCTCTGAGCTGAAGATCCCATGGGGAAGCATCTCCCAGCACTGATGAACCCTGGCACTTTGGGGTACCCAAGTGTGCCAAACCAAGATCTGCCCAAGTCCCAGGTGCCATGGGTCCAACACTGACTCTACTGCTGTTTCCCTTATGGGGAAGGCAGATGAAAACTAACCAGAAGCCATGTGATTCCCACCCCTGTGCTCCCCAGCTTGTAACGAGAAGGAAACCAACCTGAGCAGCTTTGGAATCAGGCACAGCTTGAGAGTAGACTGGGAGAGAAACTGAAAAGCAATGTGGAAAAGCACCAACCACTGAGCATGTGCTTGCAAATGGCCTTTTGTATGCTCTAGGCATCGTGGAACTCTCACCCCACCCAACAGCTGGAATACCCCAATCCCTTGGCCCATGGCACTGCTCAGAGCACTGCTGGTTTAGCAGTCAGAGAGCAGAGGACCCTCATCCCTGTATGGCTGAATGCAGATGCTGCATGCTGGTGTCCCTGGGCTCAAGGCCCGGGGCAGAGCAGTGGGGACACACTGAACCCAACAGAGAGCAGAGGAATGGCAAAAGAACCAGTGTCCTGGGGGTATCAGTGATGCTCAGAGCCAAGGCAGGGTTGCAGGACCATGAACTCGAGCTGCATGTGCTGGGATGGTTTTCTAAGCAATTCCTCATCTCTTTGAAAAGGAAAAGCTTAATGCAAACAGAGCAGTGTTCGTGGGACTGTGAATAGGGGAGATGCGGTGACACGTTGAATCAAGAGAGTTGATTTCAATGTTTTCACTTCATGGTGGCTTTTTAAAGGAAAGTTTCTGTTTCCATCTGTTCACCTGCTCGTGTTAAGGTTACCTGAGGCAGTTTAGCGTTCACATTGCAGGACTCCAACACTATCAAAGCACCCTGATGGTTCTGAAACACAGTATTGGTTTCTTTTGTTCTGTACTAAGTGTTGACTTGCTGGCTCCTTGTTCTCGGTTCAAGAGAAAGGAAATGTTCCAGTGAGGTGAACTTTCAGGTTTATGACAGCTCTTCCTATCTCCTCCTGCTTCATCCTCTTCTGGCCACCTTCTTCTCTACGGTGGCAGAGCCACCATAACCTCTGCTCCCTTTTACCTCTTGATACTATGAACTAGA